ATATATAGACGTTTTATCGCATTCGGCGTGGCAGAGGAAATACCAATTTTCCATTAATATATTGTCAAGAAATCTTGTAAATACGAACAGACGAGGGTGACACACAGGACTGTTTGTGTACTATATAACTATAGCCAAAACCTACCTATTTGCATAATTTTTTTTAAATATTAAAACCCTAGCCCCTTTATTCATTCACATACCAAAAATAGCAAATACGTTGAACCTGCCGAACTGACTAATGGCAATTCCCATTTTGCCAAAAATCGCCGTAGCTCGAAAGTACGGCGACTAGGCTGCTCCTAAATTGGACGTTTAATATGGAGCATAGCAGTAACAACTACACCCAATTCAAACATGCTGGGTCAACGGTTCCTTGAGTTATCTGTTGCACGAAGACAAGATGTTGGATGACGGACGGCACTGAGATGCCCGCACGGAACGGACGTACGACGGCGACGGCGAACACCTCATGGCACTAGCCTCAGCTTGACGATGTCAACAATTCTCCCACCCCGTCTGAGCTTAAAACACCATACTGGAGCTGGGAACGAATGCCGGCTTTATCTGTGATATTACGATTGCTCATGTAATACGTATATGAAGATGCCGGCGTTTGCAAGAAGACGAACATGGACGCCGGACACTCAAGCGAAGGGGATTATATCTTCGCACACAAGTTTTAAGTAACTGCTTGCCTTTTTATTAATGCTAGATGTGCCCATTAGAAAACACCAGTATAATATAAACTTCTTTCAATATTTTTTGGTTTACAACTACAAGCAATGGTGCCTAAACCACAATTGCACATTAGTGCATGAAACTCATGTGAGAACCATTTCCACCTGCCATTGTGCTCGCTTACCAATGTGTCACACTTTAAAATGGCTTCTTATTTACTTTTCATGCACGATTTTGTCTAATTATTACCTTAAATTATTTAATTTCTTAAATTATTCTTAAATTATATTAATCTTAAATATATTAAATTATTATTATTCTTTCAACAATAGTAAATTCCCCCCATTAGGCCTTACTCGCTATTATCAACTCGCCCCAGGCTAGGGGCCTGCCATACCTCAAATCAATTGGGTTGATACAAACTACCGGCTTCTTCAACTTGCCCATTGACATCACATGTGTAGTCATTATTATGACAATCCAAAATGCTATATACAAACAATAAGGCCTCAATAGGCCGAACGCGGTATCCAGCGCCGGGCCGTCACGTGGCCTGAAATGTACTTGTCTTTTGCGATCTGAATCTCACTCAGCTTTTATAATATTTCCTGTTTTCTGTATTTTTTCCACTTTTTACAGGTTTTGTCTTTCAAAAAGCATTACCATTTAACTATTTTTCCCCAATTAACTGGCAATAGTTACTATTGCAATTTATTTACAACAATTTTAATTAGGGATAGTTAGGCTTAGGGCCATATACTACATACAACTGGTACTTACTGCTATAGACATAATCGTTATTACCACACGTATATTTTACAACAGATACGCTAATTTTAATTAGCTGTTATTAATTAATGTACACATTCAACGGCTACTAAATCTTGAACGCCGGCGCCATGAACCCGGACTAGGACTCGTGCGTGCCACCCGAAAAGCTCTGCGCCGCCGTATTTAACAAATTGTATTTATTGCACATTACAGACCGCAGGCGCTTAATCACAAAAGTGCAATGTATATTTATACCTATATAGTATTAGCGAACGACTATTCATTTCTAGCGGCAAATTTATCCTAATCTATACTGAACGATATGTTCGTTTATACAGATATTAACTAATCATTTGCTTTGAAATTAATAAATAAGAAAGCAGGCGTGTTTACACCGTACAGGTCGTACCCTCGATCTGTAGCCCTGAGCTGAAGGCGTTTGCCGCAACTTATCAGCATTCGTGCAGCCCTTTTGCAGTGGGCGCACCCCACGGCGGTCGTTGTAGATCAAACTGATGTACACTGGCGCCGATACCTTCTTCTCTGGTGTGTAGTTTAAAACATTTTTGTTTAAATATATTTCTATGCGCGTGCAATGAACATTAGTAAACTTTATGTAGCCAGGAATTTTACTAAATTAAACTGAAAAACCTAGAACGCTAGACGTGAAACGAATCTTTTTAATACAACACTAATAAGTTTTTACCAATGTAAAGTTTTATTTTATTTTTTTTACATTAAATTTTAATATAGAGGTTAGCGCGTTAGGGGTCACAATGCCATAAAACAGGGGGAGTTTCGAGCGAATACGTGATTTGTAGCGCGAGCTGTACCTAATATTACTATATAATATGATGCGCTGCATGTGCGTGCACCGTTATACGAATTATTCGTGCGTAACTTGTAGTCAAACAGGATACCACACTCACGTGGTATTATTGCAATATTTAAAAATGTAAGGAAGTAATAATTTCTGTACTGTCAATTTTACTTTTATATATATTTACTGATGATAGTGCATAAGTTTACACCCCGCATCACTTAACAGTCAGGATAAACACACGACACACACACACACATTTATTTGGATTGTTAAAGCCTCACGGCCTACTTTACAGCCTAGCTATAAATCGCTGGCCTCACTAGATTGTAATGCTGTTGACGTACCTCTGGCGCCTCGGTAACTTGTCAAATTGCATCGTACATACATTTAGGTTGTAAATGAGCAACATGTTTAGATGTTAGCTGATACAAAATGGGTTAAAACTCCAAGGCAGCAATTTCAAACAACAAATCAGCGTATTAACACAGCCGAACATTTACGCGTAAACACGCATATCCATGCGTGGCGCCGGAGTCGGTCGTCACCGTCACGCGTATCATTATTTCGCTGCAGTAACTCATTCAAACAGTTAAGAAGGAATATTTCTCAACATAGGTATTCGCTACGACCTGTATAACAGACGCATTAGCCATGTGTTTAGAAAGGAAATCAGAATTTGTATTATATTGCCCCTATAAAGCGATTCTCAATTTCGGCTTTATGACAGTATCCTTGATCCTTTTACTGGTCCCTCCTCAAGCTTGTATTTCACAAGCCGCACTGATTCGTGGCTCTTTGGAATGCTGCAGGGGAAATCCTGTGCATAAGGAACAGCTGTCTGCCAATCTTAGCATAATTATTTTACTTTCTCTAACTTGATAATGCCATCAATAGTGTTGTAGCTAGCTTACGTGTAGTACTATAGATACAATAATGTAACCCAAACCCAGAGGATAAGGTTAGCAAC